ATCTCAGCAAGGAAATCCAGTTGTGGAAGATGATTAGATTAATCCAGAGTCCGACTATTTTTAGGACACACTGCAAGACCTTTGATAAAGCTTTTGTACCAGAACCAGAATGATCCTTACAACAATCATCACTTCCAAATATGAAAAAGAACAATAACCAATGAAGAGCTGAAGATACCAGGAGGTCCATTAGGGACCATGCTATGCCAACTGAGTTAACCTGGGAAATACTCAAGTATTAGAGTGATAGGGGCTAATATAAAAACCTTAAGATAGAGAAATAGCAATCATGTTGTTCATGAGACTCTGCACAAATTGCACTCTGATCTGTGAAACAATGATTTGAAAGTCAGTCTGAGAATTCTCAACTACAATCACTTTATGTGAAACTTCACCTCGATTGGAGGCATTTGTGCGATGTACATCCAAGGCTCAGGTTCCAGAACTAAAGAGTTGAGTATTTTACAAGTGTTGATGTCAGTTGTTGTAGCTATCTTTGGCCTTGTCTATGTGGGGACATTCAGAAATGTTACAGCAAATCAACTAAAGTTGTGAAGTCAATGCACAAGAGTTAAAGCATGTTAAACCCCTGTGTGGATGCTCTCATTCAAAAGTAAAGTGGCACGTAGAGGCCACTTCTAAACGAGAGCATCCACATAAGGTTTAAGGCACTTTAATTTAGGAGCTTTAACTTCAAACCCTTAGTTGATTAATTTTACCTTTCATGAGTGTCCTTGTGTAGATAAGCCCTTAGAAGGGTCCTTCCATCAGATTATCCATCTGGTTTCGCATCTGAATTTACTCCTTCATCTGAGGGGAAGCTTCATCACTGCAACTGGATCCTTCAGCTGGACCTGCTACCTTAGGCCCTGATCCAGAAAAACATTTAAGCACAGTTTGAATTCAATGGGGTTACTCATGTGCTGAAAGTTGAACGAGTAATTAAGTGCTTTGCTGAACTGGGGCCTTAGTCACATGTGCATTAGGAAGAGGATTGGAGTATGAAGAGAGGGAGGGGCATTAGGCAGTTGTGGAATGCAGCTTTCCAAATGAATTGAAGCGTCACATGTACTTTGTAATTCTTTTAGCTGCGTCCAAATGGGAAATAGTGTGGGTGAGCTCCCCGGGGATAAAATCAACACAGTTATAGAATCCATTCGATATTCATGAAGGGTGGGCCAGGAAAAAGGAGAAGGAGCGGCACCAGGGAACTTGGTGTACCCTGCACAAAGAAAATCAGCTGAGAGAAATCAGTGTAAGGGTTTTGGGGAGAAGCAGGTCTCAAACCTGCTGGAACAGGATGTAGCAAAAGCAGCTGAGCACATGGCAGCAAGACCGCAGGCAAGGGGCCAACTGCAGAGGTGCACATGCCTTAATCACACAAACAGGAGTGGGCTGTAGCAATAGGATGAACAGTGAAATCTGCAGGAGAGGCTGCACACTACAGCTGTATGTCTGGGAAGCTAGCAGCATGGAAACAACACTGAGAGGACCTTCCCTATTAGCATGCAGCAGTTAGAATTACTGAAGTGGGTAGGTAAGCAGACAATGGGACAGAGGGAATTCTGGATAGGGAGGCTTACTTGCCCAGCTAGAGCTGGGGCTGAGGCTTTTGCAGGCCCTGATTAGAGGCTTCTTGTCTCTTTCTCTGCCAGAGTTGATGGATTTCCCCACACACACTTTTTTTTCTTTTTCTTCTTGATCTTTTCATCTCATAATTCCCTGTTAGAAGCAACAGGAGCTGGAGGTGGTTCAGCAAACTCCACACTTAAAGGATGGGGGAGGGGGAAGGTAAGGAAGACAGAGAGGTGGGTAAAGCCTAATAATGGTATTTTGATTCTAGTATGGGAAGAAGAGAGTCATATGACAAATGGAAGGGAAACACATTTCTGAGAAAAAGGCCAGAGGGAACACCAAGAACTACTAGTGCACTCAGAATTTGAAATAAAGTCTACAATTCTAAAATAAAAAATTTACCAGCAATACAATATTGAATTCTACCCACCTTTAACTTAAAATGAGGTAACACAAATGGCTACTGAAAGAGCCAGTAAGTCAACTCTTTTTACACTTTTTAATTTAGACACCTAGAGCCTGATTCAGGTCCTACTGAAGTCAATGGGAGCCTTTCCACAAACTTCAATGAGAGTCAGATCAAGTGCTCACAGAACATACTTTTGTAATACATGAGATAGAAGAGATCCTCACCACTGCTCTGGTCCCTTTAAGCCACATAAAAGGGCCAGGATAGCAAGAAGGGGCCCTAAATGGATTCCCCCAGGGCAGGCATTATGCTGAGGCCAGGGCTGGGGGCAGGAAACTATGTGGTGGAGGGGCTGTATCACATAGAGCCAGATTCTGAGCAGATTCTGCAGCCCACTGCCACACTTTAAACAGGCCCCAGGTTCCTCTCCAACCCTCAGAGCAGCCCAGGATCAGAAGGGCATAAAGGTGGCTTAAAATTGCTATAGCACCTCACCATGCACTGTGAGTTCTGTTCTGTATCTCTTGGAGTTGCAACACAGAAACTCACTCATAGAGATTAGGAAAAATAGAAGAAAGTAGGGCCAGTAAAATGGATTCAAGAAGAGAGAAGATTCTGAGACTTTTACCTATATTTGATCATAGAAACTGGCAACATCTTGGGTCTGAATTTATTGTTACATCTTATACACATTTTACATATAGTTATGACTTTAATAAAGATTGCAGTTATATTGTTTTGACAGATAGTCTGCCCCTTCAGAAGATATGGAGAGAAAGGAAAGGGGTCCCAGCCAATAAGGAATGAGCTGGGAGAAGGGGTCAGCATAAATGCTGCCCCCTTCTTCACAGCAGGGCAGGTGCCTGTGAAAGGGCCCAGCTGAGGAGAAGCTGGCTAAAGTCCTGAAGCTGGCCTGAACCACAGCCCAGCTCCAGGGAAGAGAGCTGTGGGAAACTTCTGCATTAAAGAGGAAAAGTATAAAGGACAGTTTGGAAGATAGCCCCATTTGTGCCAGAGAAGCTGAGAGGCAGGCCTATTTATACGACGTTCTTCCTTTGGAGTTAAAAAAAACTAGACCCCTGAACGGCCACTATTCAATATACAAGCCCCACTTGATTTATTAAAACTCTCACTTGGGGAGACTGAGGCAGAGATACAATGGTGGCACTGCACTGGGCTGTTAGGGGATGCTCCATGGGTGAGGTCACCCACTAGAATTGTATATTTATCTATTCTTTGTGTTACCTCACAGATATTTTGTATGTATGAGATGATATTTTGATTTAATTTTTATGCTCTACAAAAAAGTTCCTAAGCTGCTAGTCCCCAAGATAACTTCACTGTTAGGCTTTCATTTTCTGACATAATATATAAATCATGCATACAATGTGGTGGCCTTGATCTGGAGGGGTTTGGGTCGGGTTCCTGAGCACAGCATTCACTAAACTACCAACGGGACAAGTGGCACTTGATTATGGCAATTATAATGCATCAGTTATCTAAATTCATAAGCTAAAACATATTGGGCTAGTTTCTGATCTGTTAAATCCATGTAAATCCCAAGTACATCAATGGAGTAACTCCACTTGCATTTACACTGGTATCACAGATTAGACTTTGTCTGAATATGTTTATTACTTTGAGTTCGGATTAGCTCATGTATGACCTTTGCCATTTCTGACTTTGTATCAGTACAACCAGAAGTTTCTTCTCAATGAATGGTGGATAGACAGCACGAAATCTAAGAAAAAAATTATGCTTTTAGCTTGTGTTAACTGAAAACTTGTCAGTGTGATATATGTGGAGGTCACATTAAATTAATAGATTTCTTTGATGTAACTACCAAATTATCTTTGTTAGAACGACTATTTTTTTCCCTCAGAATCTTTAAAAAAAATCACTTAAAAAAGTTATTTTATTCTCACATAATAGTGCACAAGATGAAAAGAAAATTGCCTCTTTAACAAAGCAAAAATTCAAGAGACAGAGTAGCGAGGGAGGGATTGGGGACAAAGTAAATTTTTAATACTGTTATCTCAAACATAAAACAGCTGCTGTTTTCCCCCCTTCTGCTAGACATTACCAGAAGGTTTCAGATTCCGATACTATCACTCCAGGTCCTGCATACCTTCTGTTACATCCAACTTCTAAATTCCATCTTCAGTTCTTATTCAGACAAAACTCCCATTAAGGACTGTGTATCTATCTGACTTTCAGTTACACTATTAGGCTTCTCCATACTGTCAAACTGGTGTAAAGGCATTTTAGTGCAACTAAGAAGCAGATCCTAAGAAAGGACTACAGAGACTGACTCACTGTCTCTGTGCAAATTAGTTATGTACCTCAACTAGAACCTAAGGCTACTTGCCACATGATTAAATTCTTATCTTCACCTATTGCTTAATCCTGCAAAGTGATGAGCACTCTAGCTCTAATCCAGCAAAGTATTTATGCACATACTTAACTATATGCATACAAGTAGTCATGTTGATGTCAATTATTATTGGTTTAAAAATAAGCAAACGATTATGCAATTTGCTGAGTCAGGGACAGAGTGCTCACCACTTTACAGAATCCAGTCCGTACCACAGACAACTTCACTGCAGGCAGGAATAGCTGCAGTCAGATTTTAGCCATTTTTCTTCAAAACAGTAAAGTGTATGCAAAAAAAGGAAAAAAATAGATTATTAGAATTGACATGTCATATTTTTACAAAGTTCATATTCAATTTTACCAAATTCAATGCAACTTTGTGATTATATCTACTACTGTATGTTGAAAAAATGTACATTGCTGGTAAAACACTGAACACTATTATGTAAAATATTCACCAGAAATTCAATTAAATGGAATATTTTTCCTTTAAAACTCAAACTGCAATGTGTGACAATAATAACTGTCTCTGTAAGAAGAAACTGTTTCACAGTAACAATTATGGTATGCAGTGTATATATGCATGATGATTTCACTGTATTCAGAGTCTGAAATGATCATGTATTAATGAAAAACACTGAAGTGTAGTTTACCAATGTTTTATTAAAATGACTAAATTGGAGTATGTATATTACTCTGCTGTCACATCTTCAATCTTCAGATCATCTGCACAAAAGAAGAAATCATACATGAATTGCCTGAAGTCCAATAATATTCACAAGTAAAACTAAAAAAAGTAGTAACTGATTGTGATACACAATCTTCCTGAACACTAATAAGCCCAAAGAAAGCTGGGAATAAGAGCAGTCACTCATGCACATCTACTGACTGGACTCTCAAAATGGAGAAATATCAACTTTTGATGTATATGCCTGCACCTGTGGATACGTTTGGCTTCTGTTTATCCCAATAGGCATCATATGTGCATCCAAAGGTATTTGACCGTCTGCCTTTACCAGTTCTTGAGGGGAAGTAGAGACGTCACTTACCTCTCAATGATAACTGTAATCACTGTTCTCTTAAGGTAAGTGCTTTTTTAGCTCTGAAAGTAATTTTGCATCATAGACCTCCATGTTATGATGGATTTGAAATTAAAACTGAATCTGTTTTGGAAATAAACAACTAGCTTTATATTTCTGAATTATTTGAAAGTGTAACATTATCCACTATTTAACTTAAACCACCACAGATTGTTCAAGCTCTTGAGCTAGATAGAGGTCTGAAATTTCAAAGAAGAAAATAGAAGGTTAGGCTGTAGACTTCCAATGACAGCTTTTTCCAGGTGAAAAGCAATCTCAAGAAACAGGCATCCAGAAGATAATCAGTATAAAGAGTTTGAACAAGATAGCTGGTCACAGATGTATTTTAATAATTTGTATTAGAAGATTTATGGTACAAAAAGCTCACATTATTTAATGATGCACACTCTCTCTGCAAAAGATTAATAATATAAAGAGAAATAAGTCTGGTATTATGTGACTGTAATCAAAGTCAGGTATTTTCTTTTTAATGCAGTTATGAAGGTACCTGTGTATTTATTTAGAAAGTCAGTGTTTTTGATCACATGGTCCTAGCAAACACTCCACCTCCCAGGACCACCATTTCCCTGAAACCATTGATTTTAATGGAGTTACTGTCAGCTGACCAGGATAAGGCGGTCTAGCCTAGTGGTGGGAGCAGGCATCAGGAACCAAGGACTAAGATCATAGCCGGATTCAGAAGGCAGAGCCAAGGGTCAAACCGGAGCTCAGGAACTGGAGCAAGAAGGGTAGCAAGCAAGAAGGGATTCAAGGCAGGGACAGGACAGAGGAAAGGCTGGGTGCAAGGCAGGAGCAGCAGGAACAAAGTAACACAGACACAGTTGTGGGCATGAGCACTGAGAAGCCAATAAGCTGCTGCTGGCTTAAGAGCCAGCCTGCTGCCCCAAGAGCCAGCCTGCTGTCCCCTGCAGCAAATCAGGTGGCGTGACCAATCAGGCAGCCTGCTACAGATCAGATGTCTGGATGAGGCTGCCTGGAGACTAGCTCTGCTGCAGGCCCTGATTCCTGACAGTTACTCAGAATTTACACAGTCACATGAGAAAGCAGAATTTGGCCCATTTAGTTAATCTTGAACTTTCCGGCAGACCTGAAGATAACATTCTTCTTTTCATCAATTCTAGCAGCAGGGGTTCTATGCATAAAGAAGTCAAATCCTGCCAGTTCCAGTTACTTGCCTGTTTTCTTGCCTTACCTGACACTCTATGCACTCACTGAAAAAGTACAATAATAAATTCTTGATTTTGTGCCATAAATGGCAATAGATGCTGGAGTATTAAGATCTGATCATTACCCACAAGTCTGTTAACTGGATTCTTTTTAATAGTACAAAATGTGTAAATCTTGCTAGGATTCTTCACTCTTCTTACAATGAATATGTGTTTTTTAAGGAACTAAGTGATGTGGGAAGTTACAGTATCTCTTGATGTTAAACATCTTCATTAACTTTTTTGATCATGAGAGACAGTGAGGTGAAACAAAGTTCAATATTTCTGTCTGAAAGCTAAGTAAATGAATGACACCTCAAATTCCTGCAGGGAATTTGCTACCAAATTTTAAAAAAATGTCTCTGTGTGTCTATATTGCCTTCTAAATTGAAAGGGATTAATAAAACAACTTTATAACTAAAGGCCAAACTCTACTCTTGGTTGATCAAGTGTAACTCCAAGCTTCCTGCCTGCATCTGGGGGTCAGAATTTTATCAGAAACATTTCTCTATGAGATGACATTCTGTTTTACTGTTTTTTCCCAGATATTGAAGGACTCAAGCATTTATGATACAGTTTAAGATTTTCTCTGCATTGTACAGACCAAAACATGCTCCATGTCTTAACTCTTGGGGGATATAAATTGACATTGATGTAACTGATTATTCCTCAGCACAGAGTACACCAGGCCCTCGCTAGAACGTGCGTCTATATAACACAAATTCGGATATAACGCGGTCGCGGCCATGGATCCCAAATTTAAGTACTGTACAGTACAATTTTTTTGCGCATAGATGTGATAAATCGACCGCTGAGCACTCTCCTGTCGACTCTAGTACTCCACCAGAATGAGGAGTGCAAGCACAGTTGACGGGAAAGTATCAGCTATTCATGCTTGATCAAGGTGTTATCGCCATTTTTAAGCAGCACTATCAACGGAACTTGGTACGACAAATGATAGAAAGCGAGTTGTCTGTCACCGATTTTCTGAAAAAGTTGACTATAGAAGACTTCTTTTACTTTGGCGGCGATTCCCGGAATTTATTATGCGCCTAAATGATAAACCGCTGTTGGATGGTGGGACTGAAAGAGTCATTTGGCCACCTGCTCCTGGAAGAAAATGAAGAAAGCAGGAATTCGACTTTGAGGGATTTATAGAGGAGGAAGTTGGAAGAACAGACATGGAGTGGATGCAGGAGCTGTGCCAGCAACTGTTTGGGCTCGGAGTAACTGTTCTGCCGCAGAATATCGAGTCCTGGATAAGAGGCGACGATGAAGCAGAAGAATTTTGTCCCGTTGCTGAAAGTCTAACGGATGACCAAATTCTTCTGGCAGTACGACCAAACAACATTCCAGAAGCTGAAGAATTGGCCTTCGCCATGGAAGAAGAAGAGGAAGATGAAGTAGACGTCGTTCCAATGTCAACTGCGACCATAGCCGGCTTAGAGACTGCTTTGAGATGGTTTGAGACGCAAGAAGTTGAGCCTATAAAAATTATGCAGCTACGTAGTCTTTTGCAGTTTGCTAAGCAGAAGCGGCACAGCAGCAAGAAGCAAAAGCAACTCACCGACTCTTTTAAGAAAAACTAGATTAGTTTATTGTAATGTCTACTTTAAATCTCTAATAAAGCAACACTTTTTTCTCATTTATTGTTTCCTTCAAGTAGGAGTTTATTTTCTAAGGTTTTCTATACTTTATGGATGTGACATTTACTGTATACAGTAATTTCATTTTAACGCGGTCCCCGCTATAACGCAGTACTTGGCATGGATCCCAAATCCCATGTTCTAGCGAGGGTCTGGTGTACTTCTAAAATATCACAGTAAGCACTAAAATATCACAGTAAGATATTGTAAAAGTCCTGGATCGCTGCAGTCTGTATTTCTGCCTGCTTCAAGGGAGCTGATACTGTAAGATATAGCATGTAAGATTCACTTGCCTGACAAAACAAGAAGGTCCACTGCAAATATTAAGGATCAGGTCAAAAGCAGACAATAATCCCTATATATTTAAATAGAGATGAAAAAATATGAATAACTTCTGAGTTTTTCGCTCTGTTTGAGAGGTATTGTACAATATCTGCTTCAGTAAGTGAATCTACAGGAATATATGTCAGTGCTCTAGTGTACATCCATTCTCCGAAGGACTGTATTTTCATAAATAATTTAAAGAAAAAAGATGTGATTCAAAAGCTCAAAAAGACAATCTTTAAGAACTTGGATAAGCTTTTCCCTTCCCAAATAAGGAAAGATACAACAGACTTTCTTGCCTCCTGAGCTCGGAAAGTCTCAGTGAACATCCCAAAATAGATCTTATAAGAGAGATCTTATCTCTGACAAAGCAATACAGCCTTCAGTAGAAACACTTGAGAGGTACAAATAATGATTTTTTAAAGAAATGTAAATACTGAAGGCCAATGCACATACCTTCTCCCAGAAGGTCTACAGGCCAATGACCATGTTCTCCTGGCCTTGTAGGAAAAAGTAGAAACACTACTAACTTTCTAAATTGTCTGAGTCTAAAACACGGTCAAGGGTTTTTAAATAAGTATCTTCCACAAAGACCCTATCTTTTAGAAAAGCATAATTACCACATACTAATCTTCCACGATACTAGGAATTATAGTCATACTACATTTAGCAATATAGTACATGGCTAACTACATTAGGATTTTTTCACTGAAATTTATATATGCACAGTGTGCTTTAGTAAAAAATATTAATGAGTCACAATAAATCTATTTTTTCTATCTTAGAGGTCAATGGATAACTCATGCATAATGGACCAAATCTTGGATTTAAATAGCTTTCTTGGATGGAGTTCAATCCAGCTGCAAGGTCCAGCTTGAATTGTGTCACCTACTCAGATTCTCAGGAGTCAAATGTCCCAAAGAATAGTCCATGATTCTAAACCCCAGGCCTGAGTATTCGCTCTATTACACCAGCTTTACACTGGCATAACTCCATTCACTTAAACAATCACACTGAAGTAACACCAGAATAATAGAGTGAAGCATCAAGCTGCCACATACAAACTTCCACATATGATGTTTCAGAGGTGTTTTGAGATGATATAAGAGAAGACAATGATAGCATTGAGAGAGAGGCTAGCTTCCTCCCCAGCTGAGCAAGAACTGGGGAAACTGCATGATGGCCTGCAGAGGCTCTGAAATAAAGCTATCAGCCATTTCCATAGTAGTTTGGGGTGTGTAAACATGCCTGAACTGTCTACAACCATGGCCATTAAGGTCTTACCCCTACCTTCCCTTGGATTTGGGGCTATGTGGCTAACCAGTGAAGTGGTCTGGTAGAATTTTTCACTATGTTTCCTATTTCCAAAAAAGTAAAACATAAAATTATCCTTAGTGTGGTTCTTATATTAGGCGTAGTTTAAATATGTATACATAACATGATGCAACTATGGGGATGTCTCTTTTAAAAATAATTAAAAAAAAAAACCCTGGAGCTTGGAATAAAGGATTAAGAAATCTGTTTAAATAAATATGGGTTGAAACTTTGAAAAGAAATGTATTTGCCAGAGATTGGACTCCACTGGAATCTCCAAGGATCTAATTCCTACATTAGTCAACATAATTTATCACATCTAGCTACTGGAGTAATACTGGGCTCATCTATAATATAATATTGAATAATTTCACAACCTTGATAAAGGTTATGAACTTCCAGTCATGGCCATGAACAAATGTTATAGCTACACATGATTTGTCGTTGCAGGAATCACTTTAGTCCTTTGGATAAATAATGCAATCTTCTCTTTAGTGTTATATCCCATATAATCAGTAATAAACTGACAAAAAAAATTAAAATACCTCACATTTATTTTTGAATTTTAAGTTCTACATGTATTTTAATGTCCGAATGGCACATCTGAAATACCCTCTATCGGCCTCAATTTATGGGGAACTGGAAAATGGCTCAGTTATGAAAAATGACATTACAAATGTCCGAATTCTTTTTTTATACTTCCTTTCATTCTGCCCTACAGATCATCAGCTTTTCATGAGCCAAATCCACTTGTTCCAATTACCTGACCAGAACCTAATGTGATGAGTCAAAGACTCATGTGACAGCAGGTAAATGTGAAGAGGTTTTTCATTATGAAAAACTGAACCACAAAAGTTTGGGCAGAAAAATCTCTGCTACTTACCTACTTTCTTTCAAAGTATTTGATAAACAAAACAGGTTGGTAAATAACTATGTGCATTTAAACTTTACATATTTTAAAGTGTATATAGCTGAACATTATTCAACAATTAATGAAACAAAGGATAAATACACCAGACAATGTTGTGCTGACAGAGTGAACTACCATGACACAGAGACCCTTATATTATTATTAAAGCTACGTTTTAATCGTGGATATTTTTAGTAAAAGTCATGGACAGGTCACGGGCAATAAACAAAAATTCACGGCCCGTGACCTGTCCATGACTTTTAATATATACCCTTGACTAAAAGTTGGGGGTGGGGGGGGCACCCTGGAAGGGTGGCCCTGGGAGCACCACAGGTGCTGGGGGGGATGGCCTGGGGGGCACCGTGGGCACTGGGGAGGGGGGCGCTCCAGGGGTGCCACGGGGGGGGTGGTTGGTGGGGCTGGGTGGGCTCCCTAACCGGCTCCTGGGAAGCGACGACCCCAGCTCCCAGTTCCACGTGCTGCCTCTGCTTCACCCCAAGCTCCAGTTCTACAGCTCCCATTGGCTGGGAACCATGGCCAATGAGAACTGCAGGGGTGGTGCCTGCGGGCGGAGGCAGCACATGGAGCTAGGAGCTGAGGGAAGGGAGTTGCTGTCCCCCTTCCGGAGAGCTCCCCCCAAGGTAAGCACTGTCTTGCACCCCAAGCCCCAGCCCTGAGCTCCCCTGACACCCAAACTCCTGCTGCTGGGGGGCGGGAAAGCCCGAGTGTGCCCCAGCAGCGGCTGGTGCACCTGGCCCAGGGGCTGCCCGAGCTGCTCAGGCGGTCCTTGGGCCAGATGCACGGGCCACTGCAGAAGTCATAGAAAGCCACGGAATCCATGACTTCCATGACCTCTGTGACAAACACGGAGCCTTTATTATTATGTAATAAATCTAACAAAGTAATTCTATAGACTTCAAAGCTTTAGCATGTGATGTTCTACATGGGAAAATTACTTACCAAGTGTTTGTTTTGTTATGATCTACTCTCTTCTCTACTCTGCAAGAAAGATACCTCAAATTATGCCAGTATGGCTCCACTGTCCTATCAGGAAACAGGAACTAAGTGAAATTGCCAGTCTCACAGCCCTATATAAGATGACGGTTCATCTGCAAATTTTGTCACTTCACTTTTTACCCCTTTTTCCAGATCATTTGTGTCTATGTTGAACAGCACTGGTCTCAGTACAAATCTCTGGGGGAAACCACTCCTTCCATTCTGAAAAATGACCATTTATTCGTACCCTTTGTTTCCTATCTTTTAACCAGTTAACAATCCATGACAGGACTTCCCTCTTCAGAACCTTTGGTGTTGGACCTTGTCAAAGGCTTTCTGAAAGTCCAAGTACACTATATCCACTGGATCACCCTTCTCCACATGTTTGTTGACCCCCCTCAAAGAACTTGAATAGATTGGTGTGGAATGATGTCTTTTACAAAAGCTGTGTTGACTCTTACCCAACAAGTCATGTTCATCTATGTGTCTGAAAATTCTGTTTGTATGACTCTGTAAAGAAGGCTATTTGCTTCCTGGCTCGTCATCTCTGTTTTGTTCTTCTCTAATATCTTCTCTCTGTCATCCTTACACCTGTCATTATCGTATGTCTTTTGAGAAGGAAAGGGGAGAAAGATCTTGCAGATCTTGTTTCCCCATGCTTCCAGGATGAGGTAGTAAGATAAGACTGGGGTGTGGTAAGCAGGGTCTTACCTCTGCAGGCTCAGTTACTGACAATCTTTCTTACCTCCTCATTCCTGACAGGTGGAGTGATAACAATATAATGTGAGGCACCATTTTTACAGAGGGGAAGCAGAATAATGTGCAATCAAAGCAACCATTATGATCAGAGCTCAAAAATGCTACTGTAATAAGGAGGTGTGACAGAGCTCTGCTAAGTTATACCTGAATCCAAATTTGGAAGTGATTAGGTATAGCATGACAATAATTATTAAATGATGAGATCTAATTTAGTAAATTAAAGAGGATTTTGTTAAATTACAATAAAATCAAAAGATCTCAATTTATCACAGTCAGTAACGTTAACAGTGTTTTACCAATCTGATGCGATTTTTAGCTAGCAATGATGTATAGATATGTGCCTCGCTGATTTATTAGAACACAATTCTTTTTTTAAAAAAAGAGGGGTGACTTGCACAGCTATTAGGCTAAAAATCTGAATTTGGATTTTTATTAAAATATCATAATACAAATGTGTTGCATCAGTAAAGAAATTAGAAATGTGGACACACCTAAAATTTTATAGTAATACATAATCTCTATTTAACTGTGCACTGGGTGATATGTACAAGTCTGTCTTTAATGAATGTAAACAACTAAAATTAATATGTAGAATACCAATATGTATATTTAGTATACTTTTATACTATGTGCATGCTGTCAGCATACAGGGTTGAAGTGCTGTAAGCAATTCTGATTAATTTTTCTTATATTTAGATCATGATATCATTTTATTTTATTTTTTAAGTATGGAGTTTGTCATATCAGAGAAACAACTCAACAGATATATGCTGGGACTCGTGTGAATTAACATGGAAACTACTATGAGAATATATGTTCTCCAGAAACAGAAAGGAAGTTCAAGATGAAGAAAAGAAACAACAGGTTTTACTATTATAAAAAATATTCCATGTGTATCTAGCATTATTTTCCAGTTGACAGTATTAATCCCAATCAATACTATCAATATAATAAGATGCCAGGATTGTCACTCTGAAGCGATAGAAACAGCTACAAGCATGATTGAGGGCTCTTTTTGTTCAGAATATCACCAGGTTGAATCCTCACTGGGTTTTGCAATCTGTTACCATCCAATTTTTAAGTTCTCAGCCATTTTGACTTTATGAATGATACCCATGTGACAACATGGGCTTTCAGCTACTAGTATTTCATAAAACTATTAATTTTGGGGGCAATTACATCAGGGCAAGAATTTTGAAAAACAGCTTGTGTGTGTTATTTTTGGCATGGTTTTATGCTTTATAAAAGTACTTTGTTGCCCCACCACTGTAATTGTATTGCATTAGTGAATATCTTTGGTGAGAAACTGCTTCTTTTGTTCATCTTAATCAAAAGCCTATTCTAAATAGTTGTTAAGAGCCTCACCTCCTCTGGTCTGCAATGGTATGCTGGGAATGTCAGCCTCTGTGGATAGTTCATTGTTCATGCTGATGCAATAAAATGGTTCATCCAAGAAAGAGGGTTTTTTCAATCTTTTTGCGCTGAGTGCTCTTGACATAAAGTAACCTTCAGTATTACTCTTATTCTCCATCTCCTGTGAACTTTCTAGGTCATCAGGTTCTTCTATTTGGGCCACAGAATCCTTTGATAAATGACTAATGGCCAATGCTTTACTGAGATAGTAGCCACAGGTTTCACTCTCTGCACTTTCACATATACTTTTATCTTCGATACCAGCCCCCTCCTGAGCTGATAACATCCCCACGCTATGGGCTTCATCTAACAGTTTGGAAAGAGTAGACCTGGAGAGCAGGGTGGAGTCTTGAGTTGTGTAACAAAAGGGACTTATTCCATCAGAAAGAGATTCCTGTAATTCTGGCATGGTAACATTGCTTGTTGTTCTTGGAAACTGCATACATTCTTCCAGAAGAGTCACAAGCTGCCCTTCAGAGAGACAAGGTACTTCTTCAGGCTGGAAAAAACAAGCAAAAATTTCTTCCTGTCAAAATCTAACTATTAATAAAACCATCACAGAAGAGTTTGGCAGACACAAAAGAATGAATATTGATGCTATTATTTTAGGGGTTTCCTGAGTTTAAATATACTTATATGTAATTATACTACTTATTAAACCGTTCCAAAGGGTGTGAGATAGATTAGACACTGAAACTTATTAAGGAGGCCTGCTGTATACCAGGCACTTAATGGAGAGGCCTTTCATTTCACCTACAATTTCACACAAGACTTCATATTATTAAAGATAAAAGCACAGTCGTTTACCTACTAAGTTAAACAGTTTAGTTACTTTTTAAAAATATAATATTTCCTTGTTGATTTCAGGGCTCTATTCTCTTTCAAATATCAAAAGAAACAGAATACATAGCTGAAATTTAATTTTTAATTTGGATGATATATTTGGAGCTCTTACACCCATGTATCCCCTTTTCAGTCAATTTCTTATACTAACAATGAGGGGGCAGTTATATTAGACAGGGCTTATGATGTAAAATTTCAGTCATCACAACCTTTAATGCTCCTTTGGGTATGTCTACACTACAAAATTAGGTTGAATTTATAGAAATCGGTTTTGTAGAAAGCGGTTTTATACAGTTGACTGTGTGTGTCCCCACACAAGTGCTCTAAGTGCATGTAGTCAGCGGAGTGTGTCCACAGTACCGAGGCAACCGTCGACTTCCGGAGCGTTGCACTGTGGGTGGCTATCCCACAGTTCCCGCAGACTCCGCCGCCCATTTGAATTCTGGGTAGAAATCCCAGTTTCTGATGGGGCTAAAACATTGTCGCAGGTGGTTCTGGGTACATATCATCAGGCCCCTGTTCCCTCCCTCCCTCCATGAAAGCAAGGGCAGACAATCGTTTTGCGCCTTTTTTCTTGAATTACCTGTGCAGACGCCATACCACGGCAAGCATGGAGCCCACTCAGCTAACCGTCACCGTATGTCTCCTGGGTGCTGGCAGACGTGGTACTGCATTGCTACACAGCAGCAGTTCATTGCCTTTTGGCAGCAGACAGTGCAGTATGACTGGTAGCCGTCATCGACGTAGTCCTGGGTGCTCTTTTAATCGGGTGCCTGGGCAAACATGGGAGTGACTCTGCCAGGTCATTTCCCTTTTAAGTTTCATCTCATGGCGATTCAGTCCTACCGGCAGTGCGCTGTCTTTTAACCTCCAGCCAGCAGAAGATGATGGCTAGTCGTCATACTGCACCATCTTCTGCCGAGCACCCAGGAGATGATGACGGCTAGCGGTCGTACTTCACAGTCTGCTGCCAGCAAGATGTATAAAGATAGATGAAGTGGCTCAAAACAAGAAATAGACCAGATTTGTTTTGTATTCATTTTCTCCTCCCTCCCTCCTTCCCTCTGTGAAATCAATGGCCTACTAAACCCAGTTTTGAGTTCTATCCTTGAGGTTTTGAGTTCTATCCTTGAGGGGGCCATTCAGTTTCTCGCAAAGCCAACCCCTTTGTTGATTTTAATTCCCTGTAAGCCAACCCTGTAAGCCATGTTGTCAGGGCAATGGCAGACAATCGTTCCGCGCCTTTTTTCTGTGCAGACGCCATACCACGGCAAGCATGGAGCCCACTCAGATCACTTTGGCAATTAGGAGCACATTAAACACCACGCGCATTATCCAGCAGTATATGCAGCACCGGAACCTGGCAAAGTGATACCGGGCGAGTAGGTGACATCAGCGCGGTAACATGAGTGAAGAGGACATGGACACAGACTTCTCTCAAAGCAGGGGCCCTGGCAACGTGGGCATCATGGTGCTAATGGAGCAGATTCATGTGGTGGAACGCCAATTCTGGGCTCGGGAAACAAGCACAGACTGGTGGGACCACATAGTGTTGCAGGTCTGGGACGATTCCCAGTGGTTGCGAAACTTTCGCATGCGTAAGGGCACTTTCATGGAACTTTGTGACTTGCTTTCCCCTGCCCTGAGGTGCAAGAATACCAAGATGAGAGCAGCCCTCACAGTTGAGAAGCGAGTGGCAATAGCCCTGTGGAAGCTTGCAATGCCAGACAGCTACCAGTCAGTCAGGAATCAATTTGGAGTGGGCAAATCTACTGTGGAGGCTGCTGTGATGCAAGTAGCCAACGCAATCAAAGATCTGCTGATATCAAGGGTAGTGACCCTGGGAAATGTGCAGGTCATAGTGGATGGCTTTGCTGCAATGGGATTCCCTAATTGTGGTGGGGCCACAGACGGAACCCATATCCCTATCTTGGCACCAGAGCACCAAGCCGGCGAGTACATAAACCGCAAGGGGTACTTTTCAATAGTGCTGCAAGCACTGGTGGATCACAAGGGACGTTTCACCAACATCAACGTGGGATGGCCAGGAAAGTTACATGACACTCGCATCTTCAGGAATTCTGGTCTGTTTCAAAAGCTGCAAGAAGGGACTTTATTCCCAGACCAGAAAATAACTGTTGGGGACGTTGAAATGCCTATATGTACCCTTGGGGACCCAGCCTACCCCTTAATGCCATAGCTCATGAAGCCATACACAGGCAACCTGGACAGTAGTCAGGAGCTGTTCAACTGCAGGCTGAGCAAGTGCAGAACGGTGGTAGCATGTGCATTTGGACATTTAAAAGCGCGCTGGTGCAGTTTACTGACTCGGTTAGACCTCAGCGAAACCAATATTCCCACTGTTATTACTGCTTGCTGTGCGCTCCATAATATCTGTGAGAGTTAGGGGGAGACGTTTATGGCAGGGTGGGAGGTTGAGGCAAATCACCTGGCTGCTGGTTTCGCACAGCCAGACACCAGGGCGGTTAGAAGAGCACAGGAGGGCGCGGTGCGCATCAGAGAAGCTTTGAAAACCAGTTTCATGACTGGACAGGCTACAGTGTGAAAGTTCTGTTTGTTTCTCCATGATGAAACCCACCGCCCCTTGGTTCACTCTCCTTCCCTGTAAGCTAACCACCCTCCCCACCTCCCTTCGATCACCGCTTGCAGAGGCAATAAAGTCATTGTTGCTTCACATTCATGCATTCTTTATTCATTCATCACACAAATAGGGGGATAACTACCAAGGTAGCTCAGGAGGGGTGGTGGAGGAGAGAAGCACCAGGAGGGGTGGTGGAGGAGGGAAGGACAAGGCCACACAGCACATTAAAAGTTTAAAACTTTTAAAACTTATTGAATGCCAGCCTTCTGTTGCTTGGGCAATCCTCTGGGGTGGAGTGGCCGGGTGGCTGAAGGCCCCCCCACCGCGTTCTTGGGCGTCTGGGTGAGGAGGCTATGGAACTTGGGGAGGACGTCTGTGCTCCTGCTGCCTTTCCTGCAGCTCCACCAGACGCCTGAGCATGTCAGTTTGCTCCCCCATTAGCCTCAGCATTACATCCTGCCTCCTCTCATCGTGCTCCTCCCTCCTCTCATCGTGTTCATTTAATGCTTTCCTGGACTCTGCTATTGTTTGCCTCCACACATTCTACTGAGCTCTTTCAGTGCGGGAGGACTGCATGAGGTCTGAGAACATATCGCGAGTGCGTTTTTTTCGCCTTCTAATCTGCACTGGTCTCTGGGATGGAGATGATACAGGAGCATAGAAATGTTTGCAGCTGTGGGAGGAAAAAAAGGGAGAGTAGTATTTAAAAAGATACATTTTAGAGAATGAAGGGAAGACTATTTCACACTGACATAGCACATATGCTTTGGGTACAGGGTCGCATTTTGCCTCTTATATTGGCTGCCTGCCGGTTTGGTGTGAGACATCACATACGCTTGGCTGGGCAACAGAATTCGGCTTGCAGACAGCTATGGTAAGGCAAAGGGTTTCGGCTTCTTCAACTTTCATAACATGTGGGAATGGTTTCAAACAGCAGCGTCCTTCTTTCCCATATCAAGCAAAGCCTGTTGGGTTGGCCATTTAAAAGGAGGGGCTGCGGTTTTAGGGTGAATGTGCAGCACAACCCAATCCCCCCCCCCCCCCCCCAACACACACACACCCAATTCTCTGTGATGATCGCTTCACCCCACGGCTAGTATCAGGGAAGATCCCTGTCAGCCAAACGTGAACAGCTCAGTATGAACGGGCCTCCCCACACCGCGTGGCTAACAGCAGGGATGATTTCTTTTCAGCCAAAGGCAAATAGCCCAGCAGGAATGGGCACCCCTGAATGTCCCCTTGGTGTGGTAAAGTGTCCTACCATGGAGGACGGAATAAGGCTGCCCTCCCCACAAACCTTTTGCAAAGGCTTTTAGAGTACCTCCAGGAGAGCTTCATGGAGATGTCCCTGGAGGATTTCCACTCCATCCCCAGACACGTTAACAAACTTTTCCAGTAGCTATACTGGCCACAAGTGCATCCCAAGTATTCAGGGCAAATCAACTATTAAACACGCTTGCTTTTAAACCCTGTATTATATTTACAAAGGTACACTCACCAGAGGTGCCTTCTCCGGCTTCATGGTCTGGGAGCCCGCCTTGGGACGGTTGGGAGGGTATTGGCTCCAGGGTGATGAACAGTTCCTGGCTGCCGGGGAGAAGGGATTCTCTGCTTGCCTGCTGTGTGCTATCCTCAAGCTCCTCCTCCTCATCCACAAAATCCTCATCACTGTTGCGTGAGACTCCCCCCTTGCAGGTGTCCACAGACAGTGGTGGGGTAGTGGTAGGGGCCCCCCTTAGAACTGCATGCAGCTCATCATAGAAGTGACATGTATGGGGCTCTGACCTGGAGCGAGCGTTTGCCTCCTTTGTTTTTTGATAGGCTTGCCTGGACTCCTTAATTTTCACGCGGCACTGCTGTGTGTCCCTGTTGTAGCCTCTGTCCATCATCCCCTTGGAGATTTTGGCACATATATATTGGCATTTCGTCTTTTGGAGTGGAGTTCTGCCTGCAAGGATTCTTCTCCCCATACAGCGATCAGATCCAGTACCTCCCATTCGGTCCATGCTGGAGCTCTCTTGTGATTCTGGGACTGCATGGTCACCTGTGCTGATCAGCTCGCCACGCTGGCCAAACAGGAAATGAAATTCAAAAGTTCCCGGGGATTTTCCTGTCTACCTAGCCAGTGCATCTGAGTTGAGAGTACTGTCCAGAGCGGTCACAATGGAGAACACTCTGGGATAGCTCCCAGAGGCCAATACCATCAAATTGTGTCCACACTACACCAAATTCGACACAGCGAGGTCAATTTTAGCGCTAAACCCCTCGCCAGGGAGGAGTACAGCAATAGATTTTAAGAGCCCTTTAAGTCGACAAAACAGGCTTGGTCGTGTGGACGGGTGCAGGGTTAAATCGACCTAATGCTGCTAAATTCGACCTAAACTCTTAGTGTAGACCAGGACTTAGTGTCCATTCAAGCACTAGCCTTGGAAATTCTATTTAGAAGTCTGAATAACCAGGGAAAATGACGGGAATATATACTTACATTAAATGTATTGTATATATGAAACCACAAAAGCACTTTAATACCTGGGATTATATAGAAAGTTGATACTATATAATATTTGTATATGTCAAACAAAATCATTCTTTTATGGTTAACTGTACACATTTAGGAGGTTCAATACTTGGAATCAACAGTAAATTCTTAGGAGGACACTAAACTCCAGTTCTCCTAAGCTTTCATTGTCTTCACTGTAATGTACTTATAAAACCTCATTAAACAGACAAAACATTTACAGAGATACTATTTTAATAACATATAAATACATCATATTCATATTGTTCAGAATATAGAAACCACACACTGGACAAGGCAAAATGATCTATGAAGTCTGGTTCCTATTATAATTGGAAAAGCTCCAATTGTTCTTGCAAATTTTTAATAGGGAACTGAATCCCATTCAATTGCTAGGCTTTTTACTGCTAATGGTCCAAGAAACTAATTCCTAGCCTGGAGTCTAGGATGCCTGTTAATGACCTTTCGAGCAGGAATCTATTTATGTGTGCAGCTAGTTCTCCTGACCCCAGTTGCCTCTCTCTACCTGAGGGTCTTTTGTGTTTAGCTGAATTCCTCAGAGGCATGGGTCTATAGGATAAATCTTACTGCATGTGGTAGGAATGCACACTTGTACTTATTTTGTGTATAGACCTGCTCTGACTCTGGGCTTACAAGTTCAAAGCATTAGGAATGTTTTCAATTTCTATACAATAATGGAGACAGACTACTAAATTCATTCTCTGTACTAGAAAAAAGACAAAGGAATATTTAAGCCTTTTTGTTTTGTGATAAGATATATTTTTGTTGTTCACCTTGGATGTACTACAGTTACCTGCTGTGACTATGTCTCTGAAGTTGTTCAGTTTGATTCCTTAAAATTGTTGGAAATGTATTGTAACTGTAATGTAATGTCAAATGTACGGTTTGTAATCTGTTCTGAAATAATCATCTCCCTTCCTGCTGAAAGGAATCCATGACAAGAGTGCAATAACCTACTGAAACAACAATCTGGTTTTTGACACACCAGCAGTGGTATCATTTGGAAGTTTTAAATAGTTATTTACTAAATGATAAATAGCACTTTAAGTGCATAGCTCTACCATATCACCGACAAGGCAATCCTTGCCCTGTACCTTTCCATTTAGCATCTCACACCAACACGCCCGCTCAACAGCCAGGCAATGCCATACATTACCCTCCCTCCTCAATAATCACACATATTTGTCAGTCAACACCACTCATTAGGATATTTGCTTAATCTAATACATTGCATACAAACACCTGGAGACAGCTGATTATTAAACGTGAATGATTTGCCTAAAGTTTTCCAAAAACACTTTAAGGCCCAGATCCTGCAAATACTTACACACATGCCTAAATTCGGGCAAGTAAGTAGCATTTCTCAAGTCAGCACAGGACTGGGGTTTAAAAAACTTGAAAATTGGTTTTAAGTTGTTGAGTCTTATGCTGATCAGAGCCCTGTGTTAATTCTGAGGTGCAACTGCCAGTTATGTCTTTCTAACTTTTTTAAAAACACTAAGAACACAGAAAAAAGATTAAAGAAAAAAATTAGTCTGACATCTGTGAGGTTAATTCCAAGAGGAGATGTAACAAAGACTGCTAAAAAGAATGGGCCGCCAATGTAGCTAAGCAAGGGTGAATCTGGCCCAGAGTCTCCACTAATTTTGTGCCATTAAAAAATTAAGGAATGAAGCCAGACAGAATAACTTGAAACATTTATTTTGTTATTTGTAATCCTATTTGCAAATTTTAATGATGCTAAAACTATTATTATTCTCAAGTGTCTACTCCACTGAAATGCTGCTCAGTTAAAATTTAAGGACAATTAAATCACAAAACATCATATGGAAACTAAATAAAATACTAACAAGCCACAGTACAAAGATATATTTACATCTGAAAAGAAATCAATCAGAGCTACACAAAGGTTTGCATCCATTCATGCAAATGGCAGTTTTCAGCATTACACCAGGTTCATGAAGAATCAAAATAACTGAGTAGCAGGTGCAACTTGTCTTGTTTTAACGTGGACAACAAAACAAAGACAAGACAAGACACTCAGCTTCCAGAGGCAGAGAGAATATTCTGAATGAGCCAAAAGAAAACTAACCAATTTCCTTCACACAATTTGAAATGAATGATTAAAAAAGACAGAATAATAAATTGAGGTATAAGGTTCCCAGGTAATATTAACCATCATTCAGCACTCAAAGGTATCAAGCCATTAGGGGTGGACAGAAGTATGGATGGAATTGTTCTACAACATTTTCCAGGGAAAAATAAAAGAGCACTGGGATAATAGAGAAGGTTGTGCATGAAGAGGATTCCTGATCCATGTAGGAAACGTTCCTTTGCATGTTCTCTCTTTCTGCCCATCTGTTATTCTCCTTCCTACACATTAGTCCCCTCACCCTTTTCTAGTTTCTGCATTGTATCCCTTATGCTGCTTTACTTGTGCTATTAGCAGCAGAGTAAACATGTCTAATATCCCATTCTCTGAAGATGCTTCTGGGAGCAGAAGAGAAACAATGCGGGGGGAGGGGAGAAAGTTGAAGGGAGGAGGGGATGACAGAAAAAGGAAGACAAGAGGATTAGCGGGGACCTTCTAATACTATTGGTCAAAGGGGAATGTCAACTTGCAGTATCCTATTTTCATGGGCTCAATATCAGCAAGGCGACCAGCAGCTTTCAGAACCACAACAAAGTGAGTGTCGAAGGGTAGGTGGCTGATGGAAGACATGAAGGCTTCCCAGGGGAAAACAAGCCTAGAAACAGAAAAAACTAAGAACTGAAAACAGCCTAAAAGCTTCATTTTGTTAGTAGTTTGGGAAGTGGGGGGGAGGGAAGGGTGAAGAGATATCACTAAAGAGTTACTTTCCTTGTTTTCCTTTGGTGGGGATAGAGCAAGATTCAGGTGAAATTAACGGCCTTGATAGGGACATTGGTTTGTGTAATTTTGTTAATATTTAGAAGATCAATACAGATAAAACAAGAAGAGACAGAAGAGTGAAAAAATAAAGGGTAAGTCAGATACCCAAACTTTGTGACAACAAAGGCTACTTGGGTAACTGTGCTGAGAGCCTGAAAGCTGAAACTAATTTCTGTCTATCTATCCACACACACACAAAGTCATTAAAAATGAATATACTTGTGATAGCCTGTACCCTTATGTTCACCGTTTTTACAAAACTAACATAAATTTTGTACAAAGTGCCTTGTGAGGAATCATTTGAAAACTCATAATCTGCTGAACATTATTGTTCTGGTAAAATATGTGTAGCAAAGTTATAAAATTCTACTGTATATGACAGGTTCCAAGTTTGGGGAAACAGCTTCAAACCAGTTCCCCAGAGACAAACGGCTGGCCAACACCTCAGCCAGGTGTCAATATAATCAAATGGACTATCACCTGGTTAAGCAGTCATTCCTTGACAGGAAGAAGGGTGTGAGTGAGAAAATTACATCTTGGCAATGGAACAGCTGGACGTTCCTGTACAAAGAGACTTTCTGTCACCTGAACCTCAGCTGGAAATGATTTTCAAAGAGGAAAAGAACTATAAGAAGTGAGAACAGAGGACACAAGTCATCTCTCCTCCCTTTGTCTCTGCCCACAACATCTACAATGACTGAAGGACAAGGAAAGGAGCATTGGACTGGGTGATGGGGTCCAAGCTGAAGGGCATCCATCCAGTAAGACTGCAAAAGCATGTGGTGAGAGAGACATTTTGCTTTGAATTCACTCAGCCTGTTAGATATTAATTGCATTTTACCTTTTATTTTCTTGTAACCAAATTCTGATTTTATACCTCATTACTTGTAATCACTTAAAATCTTTCTTTCTGTAGTAAATAAACTTGTTTTATTGTTTTATCTGAACCACTGTGTTTGCACTGAAGTGTTTTGGAAATTCCATTTGAGATAATAGGATTTGTGCTATTAATAAACTGATGGATTTTCTATGAGCTTGTATTGTCCATGAAGGTAGTGGGCAGTACAAGACACACACTTCTGAGGACTAGTCAGGGACTGGAAATTTGCTGGTGTCACTCTCCAGTATAATTTAGGAGTGGCTGGCTAGAGCACTCATATAATACAGCTGGGAGTATTTTACATGCTGGAGGCTGTGTGGGGGCAGACCAGGAGTGGTCTGCTTTCAAAGTGGAGCAGTGTAAAAGACACCCCAGGCTGCTTTCAAAGTGGAGCAGTGTAAAAGACACCCCAGGCTGGAGAATTGAGGGGATACAGCTGTTCAACAGTCCAGATTGTACTCTGGGTAATGTCACAATACTAATCATAGTATCTGATGTTACTTTATCTCAAAAACCAGAAATTTGTTTGAGTTGGCAAATAATGAAAACCTGCACTTGATAATCTTTGGCCTCATTCTGCAGTTACAAGGAGGGTTTAGCAATGAGCCACACACAGTGATGCCACAAGAGGGAAAAAAATAAAAAGAAAGCTAATATCTTTAAAAACTATTCCCTCTAATTTGGAATCACAGACTCTAAAATAACAAACAATCATATGGTATTACTGCAGGGCAGAGTTAAGGTTGTTTGGGTGCCTTATCTGTGCATTTCTTACCTTATTGTATTTGGATTTGTTTTAAATGTAACTGGAAAGGTTCAGACTCATCCCTACAGTGCCTCCTGCTGGTCATTGGGAATTAGCTCTTTTCCATCGTGGAGCACCCTCTGCAGGCCGGTGATCCGCACAGCTCTGGCCACTGTGTCCCTCACAGACCCCGGTGCCCCTTTCTCTGGGGTTCTGCCCCCTAGCAGTACCGCCACACTCTGCCTCTGGGTCTCCCCTTTCTGGGGAACCCCCAACCCACTATCCCCACCTTGCCTCAGTCTGAGCTACTGCCAGTCATCACCAAGCCCCCACTCGCTGAGGCAGACTGCAGTGTAAAGGCCACTCTTCATAGGCAAGGGGGTTTGGACCTGTTGCCTTCCTCTGCCTCCTAGTACCTCTATGGGCCTTGGACCAGGCCTTACAGCCTGGAGCGCCCCCACTCAGCCTGCTCCTTCCCCAGCACTACACCACCCTCAGTACCCTGTCAGGCAGGCCCTGCTCTTTCCCAGCCTGGAAAGAGACTCCTTGGGCCTCTGGCTCACAGCCTTTTCATACAGGCCAGCTGGAGCCTGACTGGGGCATGGCCCAGCAGTGGCTGCTTCCCCAGTCAGCCAACCCCAGCCACAGCACTCTCCAGTGCTACTTTTAACCCTTTCTATTTTAGGAGCAGGGTAGCCACCCCACTACAGTAACCTTAACTTTAAATTTCCTGAGTGTTTAAATGCTTTGAGATAATTACAACAACCCTGTAATGTTTTCTGCCATTAAGTTACTGGTGCATACTCTCAACCTCAACTCCTTCTTAATATAATTTTTTGGAAATTTGGAAATTTCTGGAAATTACATAATGTGTTATAAATGGTGTCATACTATAGCCAAAATTTTCAAATGTGGGTGACTAAATCTGTATTTACGTACAGAGTATGGATTTAGGTGGCTTACTTTAGGCACCCAAGTTTGAAAATGCTGTGTATGCATACAGTTCCCTAGTCTCCTACCAGCTCTTTATCTATTGATCAAATAGCTTCTGTACTTACAGATTCTTCAACACAGTATTTTTCGCAATTTTCTGTTTATAGGAGAATGGTTTGCAATGGTTCCTTTTACTGGGAATGCTTCATTTTCATTAATTGAATCAATTATAACATTTGTGACCTTGTGATTCCCAAAATAGTTTTTAGGAGATTGAAATCAAACCTGAATTGTTAAAACATTACACATAAATGCTTCAATGTTTATGTACTTTTTTCATCTTGGATCCTTTTTTTTTTTTTTTCCATTTTGAGAGCTAAAATAATAAAGAAATCCTGAGATAAGTTCTTTTCTTGTGTGTTTTGAAACAGAGGGGAAAATAATTTAGTTTTACAATCCCACTGCAAATTCCACTATAAGCATGTTTTAGTGGTTGATTTGCTTCTGAATAGTATGTCATACACAGTAAGACATAAATCAATGTAAATGGAAGTATTGTGACTGCAACATATACAGTTTTTAAAGATGTAGAACATCTTAACTACGAGGCACCAGTTTGGGGAGAATTCAGCACTTCTAAAGTCAAATCAGTTGAATGTTCAACATGCCCAATGCATTAATCAAAATAAGCACTTGAGAGAAGGTCACTTCATAAGGTTTTTTTAACTTCTAAAATCTGCTTAGGTTAAAAAAAAAACAAAAAACAAAAAACAAAGAAACAAAAACCCCAGTGTTTTTATCTGGACATCTATTTTATGTGCCCAAAAAGATAAGACAAGAAATTTTACTTTTAAAAAGATGTAAATATGTATAAATACAGATAATTTACTATGCTGAATAAAACTTTCATCATCTGGGCTCTGTAATAGCATATAACTGTTACTTGGGAATGCAAGTTATTTGCCATGCATACATCTATCTCATGTCTTTAATTGTTATTAAACTGTCATCAGGTTTCCTTTGATTAAAATATGACTCAACTATATTCATTGAGTATCATTAAACTGTGGCTTTGATTTTTAGCAAAGCCAACTGAGTAGACAAAAAATGCTCAGATGTGGTTTTGGCTGTTTTCTGTTACAAAAAGGCCACTTACTTTTTTTTTTTTTTTTTGCTCATGTTTGCTTTTATTTTCCAAACAGTTAGATACGAAGTGGCGAAAGGTGGCTGCTACTGTACCCTCTATCTCAATTTTAAAACTCTAGCACAAACTATTGAAAGATAGTAAGAAAACTCACGAGTCAAACAGATCCCTTGCCTTAGCTGAGGAACAGAAGATATCTGAACAAAACCAAGGGCATGGACTCTGTTTCTGACGACATCCAAAAAGCTTCTAACACTGGTTGTCAACGGACAGAATTAACACATGCCCATCAAGCCAACGACATTGGGAAAACAGAAGCATCAAACACAGGATCAGATGGCAAATCCACCTTGTGGCTAAACATGCCACTGCAAAAGAACTATTTTGAGAACAAGAATTGGCCATGTGAGCAGAAACCCATTAATGGTATGTCTACACTCAATGTAAGCATTGCCATATAATGTAATTATGAATGACATGATGATTAATAAACTGTGGAGGTCAGTATGGGTTTATGTATGGAATTTATTGAAATGTGAATTGCTGTACCTTGGTTTGCTCCTGATCATGTTTTTACCTTTCTTGTCTGAAATCATGATTGTAACATGTGTCAAACTCCACATAAAGTGGGCACATTGTTGGTGAGTTGTCGGAGGTGCAGTACTTGTCACTGGTCTTCCGGTACTCACTCTTCAGCCTCTTAATATGCTCCCTGCACTGATCACCTGTCAGGAAAAACTGCAAGGCGGCCAGCTTTTTAGCTATCTCCAGGTACACATGCTCATTCCTGGTGCTTTAGCTAAATTCCAGTTTTACTGGCCTCACACCAGAGATTCACCAAAATCTGGCTGTGTTCCCGTGACGATAAAGCAGCTCATTTCTCAAAAGGCATGCTCTGCTCAGTCTCCATTGCAAATCCAGGAGGCTCTCCGATAGCGTGCTTGCAGATTGGTGATCAGAAGAGAATGGGTTAATGCTGACCTGAGCAGCTGCTGTAAGCCGGGGTGGGGTTGGGGTGGTCATCTTCCATTTTCAGTAGAGTCAACTGGAGATTGTTGGGATAGAGAGGATTAAGGAATTTGGCCCATGGAATTGTGGGAATTCAGTAGAGTCAACTGGAGATTGTTAGGATAGAGAGGATTAAGGAATTTGGCCCATGGAATACTTCTGGTGGACCACCAGGACACCACAAAGCAATTGGGCTTGCACCCTGGGTCCTGGCTTAACTCGTGCTCGGACACTGCAAGGTCCTGGGACCCTGGGTCCAAGCCCTACATTAGCATAATTGCATTGTAGATGAAATGGGGGTTAGGTTTGAGTCTGAGTTTAAACATGGTCCTATGTTGCAGTACATTGCTGTGTAGGCATATCATAAGATTTGGAGAAAGTAATATTGACAGAAGCACAATAAATGGCAGAATAATCCTTTTACCTAACAAGGGAGCTCAGGTCATCTATACTAACCTTCATCACAGATGCTCTCATTCTATCTGCCTAGGAGGGAGTACTGCAGAAAATGGTCTGGGGGTTATAGTGGATTTCAAACTAAATCAGTCAACAATGTGATACTGTTGCAATAAAAGCAAACATGATTCTGGGATGTATTAGCAGGAGTGTGGTAAGCAAGACACAAGAAGTAATTCTTCCCATCTGCTCATCAATGATAAGGCCTCACCTGGAATACAACATCCAGTTCCGTGCACCACACTTCAGGAAAGATGTGGACGAACTGGAGAAAGTTCTGAGAAGAGCAACCAAAACGATTAAAGGTCTAGAAAACATGACCTACACGGGAAGCAGAGGCGGAGGGAACGATAACAATCTTCAAATACATAAAAAGTTGTTATACACAGGAGGATGATAAATTGTACTCCTTATCCACTAAGGACAGGACCAAAAGTAATGGGCTTAAATTGCAGCAAGGGAGATTTAGGTTAGACATTAGGAAAAACTTCCTAACTGTAAGAGTAGTTAAGCACTGGAACAAATTACCTAGGGAGGTTGTGGAATCTGTCATGGGAGGTTTTTAAGAACAAGTTAGACAAACACCTGTCAGCGATGGTCTAGATAACACTGTCCTGCCTCAGTGCAGAGGACTAGACTAGATGACCTACTGAGGTCCCTTCCAGTTCTTCATTCTATGATTCCATGACTGAGGAGAGTATAAAAGCCAGGATGGACTGGCTGCTTTTGAGAAATATGCATTTCACAAGCTCAGCAGAGAAAAGAACTATGAAGACATTTACTTGTGGATACCAAGGAGATTATCTATATAGAGATATATTGCAACATATTCATATACTTAGCCATTATACTACATTGATTTCTGTACAATTGTTTCCCCAATGAGAACTTGAAATAAGTAAACTACTTTTTCTACCACTCATTTCTTCTTCTTCTTCTCCCTTATTGAAAAATTCAGTGCATATTTCATGCCTAATCTATTTTAATTGGGTAAATTGAAACTGCTTCAAAGTAAATTCAACATTAACTTAAGTTCAAATGAACAAAATCAACTCTAATTTAATAGGCACATAACTTTAAAAAAACCCTAAAATTATTTTCTGCACAGAAAGAAGCGGCCTAAAAATAATAATATATGTAACACTGAGTTTGCTCTACAGTTTATGGACCAATTTTTGTCACAAAAGAAAATCAACACACCAATTTCACTGAACTTTTCTTACTTAAATCTATTCTAGATGTAAAAAAATCATTGTCAGCCAATCCATCAATCAGTTAATTAAAGTGCCTTTTACCATGCATAATCCTAACTGTCCCTGCCACAGTAGGATTTTCGTGAACTGAAACCTGGATAGACAATGAAAGCAGTCTTCTCCTGAAGGTCTTAATCCCACAATGATGTTGAGCACTCTGACTCTGATCCAACACAGTACCTAGACATATGGTTAACTTTAAACAAGTGCTTAGGTGCTTTGTTTGATCAGGCCACAGCCGTCAGGTTCTGGCAGGATCAAGCTCCATGCTTTTGTTTAAAGTCAAAAGCACTGACAAGCATGATGCTGCCATTCCTACCACTGTCAACAAAGAACCACTTTTGTCAGTGGTAACCAACCTCCTTTTTTATTTTTGTCAATGCTAACCAAAACCACCATTTTATTTTTTTAAAAAATTAAAAACAGAGGAATTGCCACTCAGGATCAGACCCATGGTCCAGCTCACTGAAGGGCTGACATGTTAGGAGTTAAACTGCTACTGATAATTTCTAGTAAGGTTAAAAAGGGACAAATTGCTAGATATTGGTTTGAAAGCAAATAATTATGCCATTAAGGAATAATGTATATAAAATTTATATAGGACACCCAATCGCTGTAGTATTTGTGTGCTTCATATTGTTTAAACAAAATATTAAAACAAACAACAAACAATCAGTAATACTACAGTCCACTGGTTGCAGTCCTTAATTTACAACAAAATAACCTCCCTGCAAGAGCAATGTTTAAAGACTATTGGACCTCTACATAGTTTTACATGTTTCAGTGGACTTCTGGTGGGTATTACCCTCCTGCATCTCAAAGCACTCTCTCATAATAAATGTAATTTTGCACATGGATATCACCATCACATGTATGTATGTGTGTTATTATGGAGGGATGGTAGCCATTCCACAGTGAAGGCTGCACCTAACTTCTCACTATTAGCCTATTAGTATGCAACCACCCCAAAGTCATACCCATAATATCTTTTATTTTAGATATACATTTTGCATATGTCACAAAACAACTCTTTCAGGAATGTTCTAGAGAGATTTTTAAAATGTTGTAACTTTTTCTTTTCAAATCCCTCTGTCAGTAAAGCTATGTGCCTAGAGCCTGAACCAAAACTTACTGAAGTCAAAGGGTGTCTTTCCTTTGTTTTCAGTGGACTTTGGATCCAACCTCTAGTTATCATAAGTCCAACTGGACCCAATCAAAAAAATGACCCAATGAAATTTTTTCTAATTATAGACACATAAGGACTTTAATGTAGGATACATGCAGACCTTCCTTGGACATTCCAAATAAATACTCACTTGAAATCTTCTGCCCATTGGTGTAAGGCTTCCACTGTCAGTTACCTACATCTAACTATCTACCTATCTGTCTACACACACACACACACACACACACACAAGCTGCCACTGAGGCAGGATCAACTTCATTGCTACTCCTGCATGTTCACTGTATGATACGGACAAAAGCCCGGAAAGAGAAGACTAACCTGAAGAAAAATCAATAGGTTTTTAAGAAAAAGAACAGTTGTATTGATGAAAGGTCAAAATCTCAGCTTTGTTTTAAAAATTCTTTGTCCCTCCTCACATGGCCCACTGAAGCTTAACTAATTTGTGACTGCAGGAAAAAATTAATAACGGTACCATGTTGAATTTCTAAGTGTTTAGTGAATAACTGCCAGATACATTCAGAATGTTTGCTGATTTACTAATGTTGCTGTTGGTTTATCTGAGGCTTTGCTTTGCTTCACTTTTCTTACTTTTACATGACGAGTAGAGATTCATGTTCCTGCACTTACTAAAAGGAGTATTTTCTTTGCTCAGAAACTGGAACCAGTTCAAAAAGGTTTGAAAAGCCAAAGAAAATGTTTTCCCAAAGCAAGTGTACTGTTCATCACATTCTTCCATAGGGCCCTTGTGTTTGTTGTGTATGGAAATAGAAGACATACACAACAAAGATGTTGTAGCTCCTTCCAAAACCCTGCCATCATTTCAGAAAAAAAAGGTGTAGTCAGGAATTTCTATTCTCTTTCTTTTCGTATTTTTTTCAGCAGCTCATAAAAATTATGCACATGTTGGTGAGCACTGCTGCAATAGAGATTCCCATAGCAGTTTACCAATAACCTCACCCCTAACCTGAAGAAACCACATCCACTGAATCTGTGAATGAATTCAAATTCCTTCCTGGCTCAAACCATGATATCTCATAACCAGTCTCAGTTGTGCCAAAGTTACCCTAACCCCATCTATATACATACACAAACCATAGAATCATAGAATCATAGAATATCAGGGTTGGAAGGGACCCCAGAAGGTCATCTAGTCCAACCCCCTGCTCAAAGCAGGACCAATTCCCAGTTAAATCATCCCAGCCAGGGCTTTGTCAAGCCTGACCTTAAAAACCTCTAAGGAAGGAGATTCTACCACCTCCCTAGGTAACGCATTCCAGTGTTTCACCACCCTCTTAGTGAAAAAGTTTTTCCTAATATCCAATCTAAACCTCCCCCACTGCAACTTGAGACCATTGCTCCTCGTTCTGTCATCTGCTACAATTGAGAACAGTCTAGAGCCATCCTCTTTGGAACCCCCTTTCAGGTAGTTGAAAGCAGCTATCAAATCCCCCCTCATTCTTCTCTTCTGCAGGCTAAACAATCCCAGCTCCCTCAGCCTCTCCTCATAACTCATGTGTTCCAGTCCCCTAATCATTTTTGTTGCCCTTCGCTGGACTCTCTCCAATTTATCCACATCCTTCTTGAAGTGTGGGGCCCAAAACTGGACACAGTACTCCAGATGAGGCCTCACCAATGTCGAATAGAGGGGAACGATCACGTCCCTCGATCTGCTCGCTATGCCCCTACTTATACATCCCAAAATGCCATTGGCCTTCTTGGCAACAAGGGCACACTGCTGACTCATATCCAGCTTCTCGTCCACTGTCACCCCTAGGTCCTTTTCCGCAGAACTGCTGCCTAGCCATTCGGTCCCTAGTCTGTAGCTGTGCATTGGGTTCTTCCGTCCTAAGTGGAGGACCCTGCACTTATCCTTATTGAACAAGTGCAGGACCCTGCACTTATCCTTATTGAACCTCATCAGATTTCTTTTGGCCCAATCCTCCAATTTGTCTAGGTCTTTCTGTATCCTATCCCTCCCCTCCAGCGTATCTACCACTCCTCCCAGTTTAGTATCATCCGCAAATTTGCTGAGAGTGCAATCCACACCATCCTCCAGATCATTTATGAAGATATTGAACAAAACCGGCCCCAGGACCGACCCTTGGGGTACTCCACTTGATACCGGCTGCCAACTAGATATGGAGCCATTGATCACTACCCGTTGAGCCCGACAATCTAGCCAGCTTTCTACCCACCTTGTAGTGCATTCATCCAGCCCATACTTCCTTAACTTGCTGACAAGAATACTGTGGGAGACCGTGTCAAAAGCTTTGCTAAAGTCAAGAAACAATACATCCACTGCTTTCCCTTCATCCACAGAACCAGTAATCTCATCATAAAAGGCGATTAGATTAGTCAGGCATGACCTTCCCTTGGTGAATCCATGCTGGCTGTTCCTGATCACTTTCCTCTCATGCAAGTGCTTCAGGATTGATTCTTTGAGGACCTGCTCCATGATTTTTCCAGGGACTGAAGTGAGGCTGACTGGCCTGTAGTTCCCAGGATCCTCCTTCTTCCCTTTTTTAAAGATTGGCACTACATTAGCCAATGTACATACATACATATGTATGCCCCAAATTAAAAAAAAAATAGTAAGGGAACGAAAAAAGTGCCACTGTGGCTAACCAACAAAGTGAAAGAAGCAGTTAGAGGCAAAAAGGTATCCTTTAAAAAGTGGAAGTTAAATCCTAGTGAGGAAAATAGAAAGGATCATAAACTCTGGCAAATTAAGTGTAAAAATATAATTAGGAAGCCCAAAAAAGAATTTGAAGAACAGCTAGCCAAAGACTCAAAAAGTAATAGGAAAATTTTTTAAGTACATCAGAAGCAGGAAGCCTG